GCGATCAGTCGAGGAGAACGCGATCGCCGGGAGGAAGTTGCCGAGTGACCGATCGAGCGAAAGGGACTCTCCTTCGCGAGGAGTTTGTGACGTCTCGAGTTGCATGAACGTCTTGACGTAACACTAATTCACTCACCACGACGTCACAGTCGAAGGACAATGCGAGCACGCAAGATCAATGGATTGTGAAAACTCGAAGTTTATTTTTCTACAGAGAGAGAATTTTATAGTAAAAATTATATACCCAAAAAATATAATCTTATTCTTAGCGGAATCTTCTTATGCTACAAAAGTAGCTTTAAAAGTATTCTTCTAAAAATATTCCAGAAACTGAAATGTGCTATTAAAAGATTTGCTCCTAGCAAAATATAATAAAATTCTAGCGAAATTTATTATGTTCCTCAGCAAGATACACTGAAAAAAGAAGTTCGCTATCGAAATAAAAACTTGATACACATAATTTGGCTAAAATGGGATCAATTAAATGTTTGGTAATTGCAACCAAAAAATTTAATTTCCAATCAAAAAATTTAATTGCCAACTAAAAAATTTAATATAAAAATTAATGTGTATTTTTTTTTTCTCAATAATACATGTATTTGACACAAGTAAAAACATAGTAATGTGTGTGTATGCCAACCAAATCGTGTGTACCAAATATTTTAGTCCTAAATACAAAAATAATTTTTCCAGTATAGATCTTACTGAGAGTATATTCCTGCACTATTACATCAAAATTGAAAGAAATTTATATGAAGAAAATCTAGAATACATTATCTGCACGTTATCACCAAATGAAGTAAGAAAATCTTACACTGAAAAATTCATTTAGTTTGATTAACCAAAATTTGGTTAAAATAGGGTCGGAAAAATATTTCGGTTGTGAAGGCCAAAATTTCGTTCTTTCTACCAAAGATTTGATTCTCTGAAACTAAATTTGTTTCATTTTCATTTAAAAAAATCAAACCTTTGGTTCAAAGTATTAAATATTAATTCTCACAACCAAAACATTTATTCCACCTTATTTTGATTAACTCAACTAAATGAGTTTTTCAGTGTAGAAAGGATATCATGACAGGTATGATTCACAAAGGAAGACGAGGATCTACGCGCCGACGCGTAATCGCGCTTTCCCGAGTCGCGATGATCCGCCGCTGCGGGTGGATTCAACATAATAAAATACTATCCGATGCTGAAATACGTATCATCCTTCAGGAATCTCGACCCGCTCGAAAGCGAGAAGCGGCGAAACTGCGAGTCCAGGCGCTTATATGGGAATTCTCGCCAAAGAATTTGCATAGCCGACCACGGTCCGCTGAGCCAACGGCTCCGGAAATGCTTCCGCGTCGCGGCTCTGGAATTAAGGGAAGCTTAAGATTTAACGCGCTTCAAGCCCGCGAAGTCCTACTTCGCGGCCCGATAATTCAACTCCGCGCCCGACGAAGGTGGCGTCAGAGTTTCGCGCCGAATAACCCCCCGCCGTACAAAAACAACCCTCGACGTCTGCCCTCCGATTTCTCCCCGCCGCCCCGTCTCCTCGCCAGCCCGGCCACCCTTCCTGCCGCGACCTCGCGTCATTTGCCCCACGTCCGCCGCCCTTTGTTCGGCGACCAGTCGCGTCAAACCCTGTGCGAGTACTTTGCATAATTTCTCGCTTTTGCATAACCGAGTTGCTTCTTTTTTCCACGTGCTCGCCTGAAGAAACCGGGGTCGTCGTCCGCAGACTAACGAATCTCTACCTTGCCTTCCTCTCTCCACGATGAATCTTGGAGAGACTCTTTCGAGAAATCGATAATCGTCTTTGTCCTTTTCTCTTTGTTTCTCTAACGACGTTCTTTTCCTGCTCTAACGTTATTTCACGCGGCACACGCGAAACGGACAGCGCATTCCGACGCACGAAGCAGAATTTATCGACGTAAAGCAAATACGCAACGCGAATACAAAACCAATGAAGTCACAACTTTTACACTCGCTCGTCGAGAAATCTCACGCCACGGCGTGGACGGTGAAATTTCAGCGTACTGCTGAGCACAGATTTTCAAGTTGAATTTCAAGTTTATACCAGTGTTGCCGGTTTATACTAGTATTAACTTGAATATTTCCATATCCACACTCGTGAGTAATCAAACAACAAATAGTTACGAATACGTAATGCATTCGTCCATTATTATTCTTGAAAAATCAATAACATATAAATGTTAAATTATTCTATGTATTCATTGAATTAATTTTAATCGCAAGTTGCTCATGTATAGGACGCAGAATAAAACTGCCTTCTCCCCGAATCGAAATTCTGATCCTACTTTAGACTTCAATATTCCATCTAACATCTTAACATTTATTTTGACACTCTGAAGTCTATATCAGCCTTTTTTATTCTAGCAACTAACTTTGCAGAGAGGTCCTTTTTAGAATCTACAAGTAGCACTTTGTGCATTTTCTACTATTTAGAGACATTAAATATAATTTCAGTTTCCATGAGCCGATTTTTTCTAAGCTTTTGGTAAGTTAACAGTTAAATCATATGTTTGTCTTTATTTTTCCTTTAAATTAGATAGGTATATGATTTAATTGTTAGTTTACCAAAAAATTGGGAAAATTTATTCTAAGTGTTAAACACAGACTGAATCTTCAGAATGTACAGATGTTAGAAAGTCCAGGTTAAAAGTAGGGCTGAAATTTCGACTCAGGTTCTCCCACACTCAGACAAATCTCTCAGCTATCAGAACAAAAGTACGTTAGCTGTTTGATGATCGTTAAAGAAAACAAATCAAACAGTTACCGTTACAAATCATTCCTCATCATTTATCATTTTAATTAACAAACATACATTTCCTGAGATACAAATCACATTTGTCTTCACCTATTTAGGTTAAATTAGTTACATCTCCATTACAGAATTATTGCGTAGAACAACAAATTGAAATAAATCGTTTATTTCCACCAAGGAGTCATTTATTAACAGACCATTTATTACAGGCACTAGTATTTTGTAAAATTAACAAAATTCTCAGTGCGAGTAGGCGTGGAGGCATCAAGTTAATATGTTCCAGTAATACACGAACGATACGGCCGGGCATCAGGGTGAAACCCGAAAGACCCGGAATATCCAAGCACCCAGGTAAATCGAAATTGACAGTACCAGTTTATATCTCATATCGGCATATGATATAAACATCGAGTGAGGATTCAAATTGCAGACGAAATCGATAATCGTTAGTTGACCTTCGGCCATACATCACATCTACATACACATTTGCGTGTCCGTGGCCGCAATTCATTCGCGAAAGTATTCGGATACACGAGCAGTTTGTTTTTCGGATGAAAGTGCATCGGCTCTATGTTTTTGCTTGTGCATAGACGACTGATAGTTTACAGACCGCGCCGAGTGCTGTCTCGTTAACGTTTAATGGCATTTTAAATTGGCGCTTTTAACTAGTTCGAATTGGATCCTGCTTCTGAAGCGGAATCTCCACTTGAATTTTCCTCTCTCGATAAGAACACCGCCGCGATTACATTCGCGCTGTTACATCCGGCGATACTATCGTCGATATACGCGTTCGCCATCGCGCGAATTGAGCAAAAAATCATCTGTCAAACGACCGTGCATACGTTTGTAACGATATCACGTCTACACGCACAGGCGAAGTGACATTTGTATCGCAGTATCGCGATAAGCCATACGATTATCAAGATTTGCGATACGCGAGTTAGCCAATTCTCGCGCGTGAATAATATCCTGCCGTCCGCGCCAATAGCCTCCGCTCTCGCTACACTTTGAGAGCGAGTTGAATTATCGCGATGTATATGTCTCGTCAATTAACAGCTTCAATTAAAAGTTCAAAGTCACGATTTACTGACCGTCGCCAACAGATAACGCAACCGCGTTTACCGCTACGCGGTTTTCAGACGCGTTCAAATCGAATGCCATTAACGTTCTACACGTGTGTCAAGTATATCGGCGATTCTTTATTCATATTAAAACACTATCATCGATTCAACAATCGCGCGACCATCGCAATTAACTGATGAACAACGCGGACATCAATCTCGTACTCTTCTCGTAAGAAAACTGCACTAAAAATCACGTCATGCATTCTAAAAAGAAAGAAGTTGCAAAGTGCTATTTCCTGTAATTTCATATTCTATCCGGAAACTTTTGCTGAAAAAATATTTCTCTGCTAATAAAGTGAACTATTAATCGAAAATCTACTAGAGTATTATTCTATGATTGCATTTGCCAAAACGTCCTTTTTATTAAGAAAAATCTTACTGAAAATCTATTGTATATGTAATATACAATAGATGCTGTTATACAACAGATATTGTATATGAACTATACACTGATAAAAAAGTAATCGAAAATTTATTTGTGTGGGAAACAAAATTTATTCGCAGAGAGAAACAAACTTTATTTCACAGAAATAGACTTTATATTCCACAATCAAAATTTTTAAATATTTTCCTCTCAGTGTAATCTCCAGTAAAATTTGTTTTCAAAAAGAACTTTTTGTGAAGAATGCAACTTTTAATCTAACCTTTTCCCCTTTGAATCAGTAGCGATATATTTGCTAGAAGTAAAATGCTCTTACTAAAAGAAATTTCTATTAAGGGCGAGATTTGTATTGTACATAAAAAACGAAATTACTCGAAACGAAAAGAACTTTAAGAATATTATGTTCAGAATAAAATAGTGAAATTTTAAAAAATAATCAAAGAATATTGTGCTTAAAATAAAAAGTTAAACTCCTTTTGATTTTAGAAGAATCCCCTCGAGGCTACATATATAAGAGTAAAATTTTCAGAGGATTCCGCCAAGGATGAGATTGTGTTGTTTGGCTTCTTTGTAATCGAAATATTTTCATAAGCGCGTGATCGGGCTCGTAACATCGAGGTACTATTTGTTGTTTTTATCATAAGTTGTTTGCGTCTTAATCGATAAAAGATATGCAAGAACGAGTATTAACGATAAGAACACGCGTAAGACAAGTAATGTTGAGTAATAATAATCTCAGTATGTTACGACAGATTCGAGTGATCACAAAGTCTGTTCGCTCGCTGACAAACGATGAGTATTCCGTATATCTTCCTCGTGTGTTCGATCATCGTCGAATTGTGCTTCGGGCAATACATAGATCCTAATGTAATAAAAGATTATTTGCGTAACGTGCAAAATGTAGTGTCGGAGAAAGTCGGGGCTTATGGATTGTCAAATTTGCCAGATGTTGATGTTAAAATATCCTACAAGTAAGTGAAATGCAACAATAACGACAACGTCCACTCGTTATTTCTTTATATCGCGTTTTGGGTGATATGTTTACGAGCAAATCTGTTTTGACAACATTAAATCGATAACTTAATATTAATATTGGGCATTACAATCGATTTGTCAAGAAATTATAATCGATTTAGTCAAGGATAATTTTCCTTGATTAAAAAATAATCTGCAAATTAATAGCCAAAATTAATCAATCGTCATGTATATGTAATAATTGAATCGATTGATGAAATTAGCTATCAATCAGTCATATCATATTTTCATTGATAATTAATTTAATCAATTAACGAAATTATTTGTAATTTTATATATGACGACTAATCAATTTTAATTATTAATTCGCCGATTATTTTAATGAAAGAATAATTTTAATCGATTAATGCCCAACACTGCTCGATATGTATGTCAAAGATATATGTATGTTGCATGTTTTCTAATGTATTGAGTTGATCTATAAGCTCGCGTGTGCAAATTTTTGTTTAGTTGATATCGCATGTTGGTATCAGGAGGATGTATAATTCCATACAATTAGCCACCTATGTACATGTTTTAATAGCTGACATTTCAGAGCATATTTTGTGATATAAATGATACACTGAGAGAAGAATTTAGTAAATATTATCAAAATTTGGTTACTATTACTAAATGATAGACGTAAATATAGCGGGCCAAAGATGTGGCAATACTTATTAATTAATTTAGTTCTGTAAAATAAATTATTTATTTGACAGAAGTAAAATTTATTTGCTTCCAGAATATATTTGGTAAATAAAACTTATTGAATAGTTGAGCAAAATAAGCGATTTTGTAATAGTTACAAAATTTTTGATAGGTTCAACCAACCATCTGTAATAATAGATATTGAAACGATGTAATAGCTGCAAATGAATGAATTTTTCGTTGTGCTGCAACAAAACATACTTATACTGGTAACAAAATAGAACTCGTACCTACTGAATTTTTTATTATATGGGATATAACGATTTCATAACAATTATCAAATATCTATTCATAACTATAATATATTTCATATTAAATATTTAACATTAAATAACTATTACTAAATTATTTAATTGATGTTACTGTGAATGCAATTACGTCATACTCCCGATCTATTAAATATTTGGTAATTATTATCATATTTAGTATTAGTTACTAAGGATTCAATAAATTTCTGTAACTAAATGCAGTTTGTTATAGTTACCAGTCTTTTCTCTCAGTGTAGTGTTTAAGGAAGCTGTCTTATAGCTGTCTTTATTGCAATTTGAAGATGGAAGGTAGTAATAAATTTTTCCGTTGCATTATGCTTTTTTACTTCCGTAAAGATTATTAAAGTTTGGCTAGAATGTTTTATCTTTAACCATATTCACATGACATTGCCCCTTCGGATTACTATCTATTTCGCTTACAGAACTCCCTCGACGGTATAAAAACTTCGTTTCTTTAAAAGATGTAAAAAATAACATGGGACATTTCTTCGCCGGAAAAAGAAAGAATTTTACGAGAAGGCAATTATAAAATTACATAAAAGATGGCAGAAAAGATTGTTGAATAGAATGGCGCACATATTATTGATTAAAAGTGTTTTTAATAAGACTAAATCTCAATTTCGTTTGAAAATTAGCACGCGAACTTATGGATCAACCCAATATTAAAGAATCTGTAATCTCTCTCTTACACACACACAGCAAAATGTGTGATTTTTAAAAAATATCTCTCTACCTGTAACAAAAAGACGCAGTAATTATCGATAAAGTTTAATTCGCGCAGCATCATCGACGGAAACAGCTACGACATAAAAGGATGGCTTTACTTGGAGGATGGCTTTGTTATGGATATAGAAAACATAAACTTGATAGATAGGAGCGCCACTCATACCATATTCGGAAACGGCGCGGTTTCGGTAGAAACGATCATCAAATTCGAAAATATGTCGTTTGTCCGGGATTTTCGCTTCGAAGCTGACGAACCTGAGAAGATACCGGATCGAACGATAGGCAGCGTAATTATAAAACCCGAAAGCTTTTATTTCAGTGTAAAGGTAAGCACAATTAATCGTGCAGCGTTGTTGTGTGAGCAAACAAATTCTTTCAAGATTTACATAAATTTCACGTCGGCGCGTCTACCAGATACAATTCATTCATATACTTTACAGATTATCCATGATTTACGCAAGGACACTCTTAACTGCACCATGAGCACATCGTTTCAGGGGAGAGCGAGTAAAGAGGCGTTCAATTTTTATCCAAAGAATACGCTCACGTCTAGGTTGAGGAAATCACTATCGTACGCTGTGCCCATGTTTCCTGACATCGGTATCTCCTGGCAACGCATATTCGAACCTATCCTCAACAACGTAATAAAGATAGTCCCATTCCCAGATGTAGATTTTCCAGTGAGCAGAAACTGACTATCGCATTTCTCTAAATTCTTGCGACTGCTGTCGTTCTGACTTTAATTGTTGGATACCGGTGATAGATGTTGGACATTGATTGATCGATTAAAATTAGCTTTGACTAAAACAATTGGCAAATTGATTATCTAAATTTATCAGTCGTCATATATATGTGCAATCACGAATGATCTAATCAATTGATATTCATTATTAATCAGTGTATAATCGATCACATCAAAGTTTGATCAATCGATAAAATTATCTGCAATTTTATATATGACGACTGATTAATTCAATATTTTACTAAAGTAATAAATTAATAAATAGTACACTGTAAATTTTTAGCAAATAGTACACTAAAGGTACAATGAGTACACTGAGTATATGTACTGAGTAGTACACTGAGAGAAAAAAAATCTAAGAAATGATAAATATATATTTATTTGATAGTTGCTAATAGCGCATGTTTATTTATATTAAAATAAAATATTTTTCAAATAAGAAAATATATATTTCCTTAAAACATTAATGTTTTGCTCAATTTTGTTTGTACTGGAATTTGAAAATACAAACGAATAAACAGAATGAAGAGGAAATAATAAGGAAAGTGCAATAAGAATAAAAAGGGTGAAGCGACGTATCTGTTTAATGTTAGAAATAAAGAGTCATGAAATAAATTACGGCGTGTGTAATAAACATAAAATAGAAGTTCTCCTAAACCATAAAGTAAGGATTATATATGAGAATAAATAAAATAAAATAATAATATGACGACTAATTAATTTCAATTATTAATTTACCGGTTATTTTAGTTGAAGAAAATTTCCATCGAATAATGTTCCAACAGTGTTGGATCGTAACGCGTTGCGATCGTATGTGCAACTTTGTGGACTGTTCCGCTCTAAGACGAAAATCGGATTGTATCTCAGCGTCGTATCAGTCAAATCTGTCAAATGGTATTATAAAACAGCCAGAGAGACGCGGGCAGAGAGAATATAAATCCAATGGACAAAAAAGAGGTAATAGAAACAAATGTTTGCGGTTCTCTCGGCCTCAAAAAAGCATTTGCATGTTACGTCGGGGCGATCTATGCAGGATGTAATAGACAGTTTTGTCTACGCCGTCCGATACGCGCTGGCAATTTTAATGGCGGAGTCACGCTTTCCTCGAATACGATCGATTCGCGGGCCACCGCCGACGGCCGAACAACAGCAGTTTAGGCGATATCGATATTAATATCGCACCGCCGCGGCGCCGGCGCTCCTGTCGATTTTAGCGGTCCCAGATGAGCCGCTGCAATTGCGGTTACCGGTTTACCTGCACGCGCGCGCGCACCGCCGGCAGTCGGATGAATTTACAGCGTATAAAGCGCGCGTCCGACGAAACAAAGCGCCGTGGGCGCGCGCGGGAAGGAAACTTCATTTTCTTACATCCGGGGCGCAGATTAACGGCCTCGTTTATCACCGGCTGACCTTTCGACCGCGATATCTACGAGAGCAGCCGTGTAGCGACACAGAGCCGCGATTCGTCCGGCTGTCCGCGGCAGCAGCCTTACGCGAATTACCAGCTTCCTAGTCGTCGGCCGTGCGCGCGCGCGCGCCGCGTGTTTCGCCCTGCTCCATTTGTAGGCAGAAGACATCCGTAAATTGCACGGGATGCCGTGCGATCTATCTCGGAGAATATCTCGGGGACATTAACTTAAAGGCCATTTCTGCCGACTCGGAATTGTTACGAATCTCGTCGTTACGACGAGGTGCAACTCGCGGAGAATAACGCGGAGAATCATTTTCGCGGATTAAATTATCGAGATGTAAACGCGTCGACAGTTTTAATTACATTGCGTAATGAGAAATGCTTGTTTACCGGTTTCTTATCGACACATGCGTCTGAAATAACCAATAATTAAAACATTCAATTATTGATTATTACCATGTATTAATTTTTTTTCATTATCCCACCGTGATTATTAACGCTCTAGGGATGAGTTTTTTTCCTGTGATCATTGATACTAGTTCACAATTTTAATTGTAAAATTAATTAAAAGATTCACCTTTGGAATCGTAGAGCGCAGGCAAAGAATTTAATTGCAGTGCTAATTGCAACAAATTAGTTTTTACAATGAGAAAAATATATTTGATATTTGTAGCTATATACACACACACACACACACACACACACACACACACACACACACACATATAATCACACATATAGAGAAATAATTACTGTAAATTATAGCCACCACAACTACTTTTTAAGTTAAATTCTACTATAATGTGATAATAACTTTATATACGTATTACTACCATCATTTTCGTGTTAGAATAATAAAATATTAGATGTACAACTTTGTTTCCGCCGTTTTTTTTTTCCGAAATTCGAGGCTTTATTGTAAAAAACTGGTTATACATTTATGATTCAAAGTATTGTCCATCGCTGGTCACTACTTTCTCCCATCTTTCGGGCAGCGTACGAATCCCGCGTCGAAAAAACTGGTCATCTTTTGAGGCGATCCACGAATCGATCCAATTTTTTACTTCTTCATAAGACCGGAAGTGCTGGTCAGCCAGGCCGTGTGCCATTGATCGAAACAAGTGATAGTCAGAGGGAGCAACGTCTGGAGAATATGGCGGGTGGGATAGGACTTCCCATTTCAACGTTTCCAAGTATGTCTTGACCACTTTCGCAACATGGGGTTGAATATTGTCATGCTGCAAAATCACTTTATCGTGTCTCTCGTTGTATTGCGACCGTTTGTCTGTCAATGCTCGGCTCAAACGCATCAATTGCGTTCGATACCGATCGCCTGTGATTTTTTCAGTCGGTTTTAACAGCTCATAATACACTACGCCGAGCTGGTCCCACCAAATACAGAGCATGACCTTGGAGCCGTGAATATTCGGTTTGGCCGTCGACGTGGAAGCATGGCCGGGAACTCCCCATAATTTTCTGCGCTTGGGGTTATCGTAATGAACCCATTTTTCGTCCCCACAATGCGATGCAGAAATCCCTTCCGTCTTTGCCTTTCAAGCAGCTGTTCACAAGCAAACAAACGCCGTTCAACATCTCTCGGCTTCAATTCGTACGGCACCCAATTTCCTTGCTTCTGAATCATTTCCATGGCTTTGAGGCGTTTTGAAATGGCTTGCTTAGTCACTCCCAATAATCGTGCCAATTCTTCTTGATTTTGACACGAGTCTTGATCAAGTGATGCCTCCAATTCTGCATCTTCGAAAACCTTCTCTCTTCCACCGCTATGCCGGTCTTCGACGTCAAAATCACCGTTCTTGAAGGGTTGAAACCACTCACGACACGTTCTTTCACTAATAGCGGCCTCACTATAAGTATTTGAGAGCATTCGATGAGCCTCAGCCGCAGATTTCTTTATATTAAAGCAAAACATTAAAACCTGCTGCAAATGACGAGAATTTGGCTCGTAAACTGACATTTTCAATCGAGAATAACTTTATGATGCAGACACAAATCGACTAATATTTCTATGGGGTTATGTTGACAGATGCCCAAGTTTATTGTATGACGTCTATGATCTATTTATTTCGACCACCACTTACCGCTAAAGCCATCTATAGAAAAACGGCGGAAGCAAAGTTGTACACCTAATATATATATAGTCAAGGTTAAAAATAATTATAATTTTAATCAGATCAAACATTTTTTTTCTCGCAGTGTAACTGGCTTTAAAAAAAGAGGTTTTTAGTTTGTTTTATTTTTGGTTTATAGTTTATAGTCTATTTTTTTTGTATGTTTTCATGTACTCTCCAAAATACGAAGACCGTTAGAAATATTGAGATAAAATTGTAGTTTGTTCAGTATGTTATTTACATTGTTCTTAGATTGGTATCATTATCTGTTGTCGAGTTGTCTAGGTGATTTGGAAATTAAATAATTCTACTTCTTGAAAATCTGGGAAACTCTAGAGGGATACAAGACGAAACTTTTATTCTAACTGATTTAAAAAAGAGAAATTTTTTGATCAACTTTCAAATCAAATTTTTATTAAATAATTAAAAAGCACGAAACAAAAAATATTTCTAACAAAAATAAACTGCCTGCCAAAACCTTCAAAAGTTCTAAAAAGTAGGAAATAATTAGAATCAATATTTCTATATATCTACAATCCAAATACAAACAAATTCGAACATGTAATCTATTTCATAAACTATTTAAAGAATACGAGAATATTTATCATAATAAATATATTCGTCCTAATATTTGAACGATATATTTGGGCAAATATATTTATAATAACAAACCTCATTTTAAACAGTTCATGAAATAGTTATACATTTTGATTTATTATAGCATTATACTGACTCTGTATTAGGCTCTTAAAGACCTCTCTAAATTTTATTATTATTTCAATCAGTCGAGTTATCGCGTACAAAAAATGTGCCATCTCCTGAGAAATATCGAGTCAAAATTATTTCACAGTTTTAGGGCTTTTGAAGGCGGCTGACTTTTGTCAAAAGAAATTTTTTTCAGAAATTTTTTTCAGAATGTCAACGACTACGCCGGATGTCGATAACTAAATGTTTTACTCTAGCAACCGATTACGTTGCTGTGCACGCGCGAGCGTTCACGGATACTCGCGACGGCCGACGGGACCGACGTGAAGAAAATTAAGTTCGAGGCTGAAGAGCGCGACAATGGCCGAGCGATGGATAGCCGAAAAACGCGTATTTCCTGGCGACTACTATTCTTACGTGGCCGCGCTACCGGCGTCGCCAGCGACTTGGCACCATCCGTCCGGCGAGCTTTTGTGCCGGCTTCCGGCGAGAGACTCGGGCTCGCGCGCCGAGTAGAAGAGGATCCCTTTCCCGTGCGACCGGCGCGAAGGAAACGAGAGAAAACCGTCGCCACAATGCCCGACGCCGTGGAATCAGGATGTTCGCGCTCACGAGTGCACGGACCGCTCTTCCTATCGCGCCGCGTCGTCCCATGAATGCACCTAAGGCGCATACACACGCTTCCCCAGGTGTCCTGCACTTCCTATCCCTTCATCTGCCGATTCTTTGGTCAATTTGGAGCCGATATTTCCCCGGCGGGAATTCGACTTAGCGCCTCTTTCTCTCTCTCTCTCTCCCATCGAGATTTTTCAGATATCTCGCTGACGCTTTTTGCCAAGCGCGCGTTGAAGCGCCAGTCCGTTCGCGTAATGAGATAATTAAAATTTGCACTTACGCGCCGTCTCTCTCCTCATGAAGAGATATACTTGATATCATGAAAAAACACAAAGCGCGTATAAAGTCCCGCTCGCTTATCAAAAAGTTCGCCGTTATTATTCTTGCGCACGTCAAAAAGTTCGCTGGAGATTGCGCATATTTTTACGGCGCCCGGTTGAAGGACGCTTTTTGCTTGAAAAGTAGTATAATGTATGCGACGTTATTACGTCGGTACTGTTAAGTACCGAAAATAGCGCAATGGAAATAATTGCGCTCGCTCGAGCAAGCGAGCGAGCGAGCAAGCGAACTGGAAGGGGTGCGAATTATCTCGCGGTAAATGGATAATTTTGCAGCGTAAAAATACGCGACGGATAAAGCGAGGCCGCGCAAAACTCGAGCAACATGGAAACATTTGTCGACGCGTTCTAAGCCCGTTCCGTATATAAACCACATTTTATCCGGTTCGCTTTGCGCCGCTAAATAATCCAAAACGCCAATTTCCCGTAGCAAAGAGTACTTTTTCGCTCGGTCGCCAACGCTTTTGTGTTGACTTCAAGTTACTTCCGCATCGCGGAAACTGAGTTTTCCTGCGGCC